TCCGGGCCTTGGGTTGTCTTTTTTTTTCTCTCCCCTTTTTTTTTCCCCTTTACCGGGGTTTTGGGTTAAAGGTTTTCCTTTTTTTTGAGGGGGCATTTTCCCCAAGGCGGGTTATGTCCTTTTTTTTTGGGGGGTTTCCCCCCCCGGAAGGCCCTATTCCGCCCCCCCCCCCCCAAAAAAAATCCCCCCCCCCCCCCCCCCCGTCGGCACCTGCCATGCGCATCCCTCCTCTACCAAACCCCGCGAAACGCGTGGAAAAAAACAGGCGCCATACCGCACTCTGGGTGTACTTCTGGCTGTTCATCCTCGGCTGCTTTTTGCTGGGCGGCATGATCGCCACGGGGCAGGTGGAGCGCTTCCGCAGCGAGCGGGCGGCGGCCGAGAAGCAGCACGACGATGACGCGGCGGCGGCGATGTCCGCCTAAACCAAGTAAAGAACATTTAGGATAGTACGTGTGGAACAACACACACACAGAGGGCGGGCGGGGGAGGATGCGGCGATTGGGCGAGGAGGAGCAAACACACGGACGGTGCTGAATGTAAATTTTCGCAGCTCCTGGCGGGGGAGACGCAAGATTCGAACGGCTCTTGTTGGATCCCCGCTTCGAGCTTCAACTTTGTTTTTATTTTTGTTGGTTTTGTATTTGCGGTGAAAACGCGTGCTCCTTCCTCTCTTTGGCTGCCCCCCGTCCCCCTTTTTGCGGCGCATACCTACGGGCACAGTTGTCGTGTGCGGTGGTCGGGTTCTCTCCGTTGGGGGATATTTGATTACTTTGAGCGCGAGGAAAGAGGAAGAACAGGAACAAGCTTCGGAGTTGGCACGAGGTTGGGTGGCATGCACGGGAAGGTATCGGCCGCCGCGGCCGCCGCCGCCGCGGCCGCCGTCGCCAGCCGCAGCAAAGCAGCGAGAGTGGGGCCGCGGGGGTAGGCGTGGGGGCGGTGGGGGGCAGTCAGTGCATTGATATTTATCCCTGGGCGCCGCATTGACATTTTTTTCCCAATTCCGACTCGATCTATGGACACCTCTTGGGCTTTCTTTTCTGTATTAAGAAGTCGGGCGTATGCGTACGCGTGTCTTGTTGAGGTTGGACATGATGGGGTAAGAAAACACGCAATAGCTCCGCGCCGTTCGCGCTGAGGGTAGGGCAGCCAGGAATTGATTTGTAGGTAGGGGTTTAAGATTCTGCGAATGATAACGCTCGTTCTGTCCAGGGTTTTAAGGAGTTGTAAAGGGAGGCCAACAACTGTGCTTTAGCCGTTAGAAGGCTTACTTTCGGCTTCTCTTCCTCTGTTATGCGTTCGGTTTTATTGTCGCATCACCGGCGATAGGCAAGGTGAAAACTAGAAGGCGGCGGCCGCGCTGTATTGTTGTATCGTCGCTGGTTGCGAGGCAGAACGCATGTTTTAACCAGGACGAGCTGCAGTTCCAGGCGAGGAAAGAGAGACATTTTTTCGGTCGGGCCTCGGCTTGTAAAATGTACGGCGGTGGGCCAAAAAGCCGTTTTTCCAAAGCAAAACGGCACCAACAGTGCGGTGCGGTGGATGCCGTGGTATTGCGGTTTTCCGTAGGACTCATTTCAACGGACTCGTCGGGCTTTTGTGTGTCCTTCGGCATCTGACTTGCGGTTGAAGGCATAATCACCCCATCTGTGCTACATACGAAAGCGCGGCAAATCTCGTCATATTGCCTAGTTAGTTAGTGTCTTTTCGGGCACTCCACGATCTTGCATGGCACGAACTGTGTTGAAGTGATTTTCCCTTGTCCTTGTCAAGGGGGCGCGCTCTAGATGGCTACGCGTGATGCCGGTTTTTCAACGCAGAGGGCCGTTCCCTTGTGTACTGTAGTCAACAGGTGTTCTGGGACTTGAAGGCACCACGAACGAAACTTGAACAAATCACGCCCAACGTGTGCCATGCTCTCTCGAGTCTAGTACTTAGTTGATAACATTCTTTCACAGATCCGCTTGTGTTTTGGCCTCTTCACATGGCTTGACGTGGTTGTGGGACTCTGTAGGTCGCCGCTGGCCTTTGCCCGGTAAACCACAACTCTTCTGTGTCCTCGCTTAGCTGCAGGTTGAGGTCACAGGCGTTTTTCGAACCATACCGGCGTCGATGATGTAACGCCCGTCCCGGCACGTTGATGGTGGAACGGATCTGAAAGTTGACATAACAAGAGAAGCTGCAGACAAGATTGTTCGAAGAATCGACAAGCTTCCGGTCGAGTGCGCTTCGAGTACGCTTCGAACACCCTCCCGTGTCAGAAACCCCCCTTCAACACGTCCTATCATCTGCTCTTGATCATGTTCAGGGAGTTTCACGGTTGGCCATTAAGAACAACACGTTTTTCCCTGTCGCACCACGCCCGGCGCTGTCGTCGGTGGGATACTTCCAACAATGAGGGCCGTTCCAGTCCGTGGTGGGTGGTGCAACGTACAGTATCTTGGCGAATATTGTCCTTTTGTGGCGGATATTGGTGCATGTCTAATGCCGACATCTCCACAACGAATAACACACCTATCAATAACGTCAGCACGCCCATCCTCCTCGCCAGATCAAACCAAAGCGACGTGATGATGATGCTCTGGCATTCTTGCCAAGTATCTTTACTCCCTCTGGTATTCTCTTCGTATTGAAGGAATTTGACAGTCATTGGTGAAGAATCGTGGATAACCTTTCGACAACTATATAAACTTGTAAATCTTGCGACGACCACATTGTCTATTGTACTGCATGAACAACACACGTTCGTTCGTAAGATAATTCTGGGCGTCAAATCTGCACGGTTATTTCTTTGCTGCCGCGGTAACGACCTCTCTGCTCTGGTGATTCTTTGGTTCATTGAGATGTACATTTTGAAAACGTGCGAACCTGCTCTGTGTCCGAAAACACAACAACCGGGTTTCCCGCATGTATTCGTGGGCTTTTCCCGCGTAAGAAAAATTGCCCACGCTACAGATCGTACACAGTTGTAGACGATCTGTTTCTGTTCTTTGCTACAGAAAACGCATGGAAGCTCGGGTGTCCGTCCCTTCCCCACCTCACCAGCCTTGGTAGACACGTGCAGTTCTCCTCTGTTGCTTCCATTTCTGTCTTTTATCCGGAGAATAGCTTGAGCCTCCCCGATGCCGGGTCCCCTATGCCGGGTTCCCTATGCCGGGTCCCAGTTCTTGGCATTTCGACTTGTTTTTTTGTGTTTTCAACCGCACTGAGACTGACGTCTTTTCATTGGTCAGCCGGATATAGCGCGGTCGATCCCAATAATAACGACGCACACCAGCTCACGTTTGATCTCTCCGCATCACGTGCAAGCGCGGTCGCTGATCGCGTTCGCCGCCGAGAACGACATTGACAGTCCCGATAAAAGGCGCCAGGGTCATCCGCGATCTCCAACACTATTGTTTGAAAAATTAAATGTGTACCGCTTCCTTCCATGGAATAATAACTCAGCTTCCATGGAAGTTGGACCTACTTCCATGGAAGCTGATACCATTTCCTTCCATGGAAGCTACACGTTTTGTACTTCCATCGAGGCGCCGAACGACACTTCCATGGAAGCGATGTTCACTTCCATGGAACTAAAGACATGAAATAAATGTGGATCGGATGCGTCACTTCCATGGAGGAAGTTGAATTCCGCGGAAGTCCCATGGTAATTTCATGGAGGAAGTGGAATAGCTTCCATGGAAGGCGTAAGCCTTAGGCTTCGATGGAACCTATTCCACACAGGTTTAATGGCAGCTTCCTTGGAAGTATTCAGCCTCGCGTTAGCTTCCATGGTCTTTTCGGGGTTAGGAATAGGGTTAGGGTCAGGGTAGGGAAGCTGGAATGACCACATACCGTATACGACACAAGATAACACACCCTCTGGAGCGATTTTCAACGCTCGATTACGCCGTGACGAAGAAGACGAGAAAAGAAAACGATACATTTTCAGAACGCTCTCGACAAGACGGCTTCAACGCCGCCGCTTTTGGCGCTGTGGCTCTTTGTTCTGCTGAGAAATCGAGCTTTGAAAATCGGTCCAGGGGGTGTGTTATCTTGTGTCGTATACGGTAAGTCCAGACGCTTCCGTGGAAGTTGCTTTGGATTGGTGTTAGGAATAGGACTAGGATTGGGTTAGAGTTAGGATTAGGAAGCTGGAATGACCACATGTATGTCCAGACGCCCCCGTGGAAGTCGCATTTTTCATGGAAGTTTCGGTGCTTCCACGGAAGAAGTCAGTTTCGACCTTTCTTTGTCATCCACTTCCATGGAAGTTGCTTTCATGGAAGTTTTCGTGTTTCATGGAAGTACTAGAGACTCGGTCGAGCGACGAGCTTCCATGGAAGGTCGTCGCACTTCCGTGGAAGTCCGAAATGCTACTTCCATGGAAGCAACGAGTGGTTGATATCGGGTGCTTCTTTCCATGGAAGAGGATCAATTTCCATGGAAGTTGTTTACCGCTTCCATGGAAGCATCATGGAAGCTGGAACACGAAACAGACGAACAGATTCCATGGAAGGAAGTCAAATTGGAAGCCGTAAGACTTCCATGGAAGTCATCTAACTTCCCAGGGTCGTGGACTCGTATGTAGTGGGCTTGTAGTGGGATGAGTTAGGAGGAACCGAGAGGCAATGATCTATATATCATGTTGTCGGATCTCGAGAAAGGCGCTATTTACGTAAGATGGATACGACATCGAGGTACTCGATATAGAGTCGTTATTACTGTAGCTTATAACCACTCCGGAGTACCAGTATGTGTTTGAAAACCTCCAGACGGGGCTTCACGGGGGGCAAACAACCGATCGGTCGCATCCATCTTATTCAATCAAGCCAATCAAAACTGGTGCGAGCAGTCGTTCGTCGTGTGACTTCACAAGCCCTCAGCAAGATCTAGCCTCATCATTGACGAATCTCCCGGCAAGATGTGATGAAGTATAGCCGAAGCCGAAAGTAAGGGACGGCTGAGGTGGTCCAGTAGATGTTGAGCAATAGCCGACGCATGTATCCGAAGCTAAAATCGGCTGTTTGAAAATAGTAATCCATTTCATCGGGATCTTGTGTCGATCACTGACAGCTTCCGGAGTGACAAACGTGCACTGGTGCTCGTCAAACCTTCCGGCGCCACAGGCAATGTGGTGCGTTGTTCGTTAGGTCGTTAACAGCTACAGTAGAACCCTTGTCGGAGATGGTTGAGGCCTACAGTATGTACAAAGGGATCGGCGGTGGTAGTCGTCGGGTGGAGAGTTGGAGGGGCCTTGGCCAGCTTCCCGCGAAAGCCTCAAATACGGCAAAAAAATCGGACCCGCTGTAGAATTTCTCAAATATTTCGGTTCAAAACGATCTGACCCGCGTCGACCCAAGGGTCAACGCGAAAAAACATTCAAGACACATCGGCCTAATCGAAAATCGGGGTCCGTGGGGGGGGGGGTGTACTCATAGTCGTGCATGCCGTAGTCGTTAGGCCATTGACCTCGCATCCCTACAAAGCCGGGACGGAGCACGCCGGGTCCTCACCGGACCAGGCTCTCACATCACCAAGCGCGAAGCGCCGTGAGGTATTTGGCGAGTCGCACGCAGGGTGAGCTGCATCCTGCTAAGGGTGTTCGGCATCTTGTGCTTACTTCCTTGCGTACGGATGACAGCTGCGTATGACTTAATTTATTTTCTGGTGCTTTCACCTCCAGAGACAGTTGTAAGCACCGTGTAACTGCCGAGGATGCTTGACCATTTTAACACAACGTGGTGCGATCATCCCCCTTGCGCGGAGTGAGGGTTCTCCACCCCGCACAACATGATCTACTCGACCACCATTATGGTTACCGCAAACAAAAAAACAGAAGTAAAAAAAAAACGGTAACCTGGTTGCCGAGTTCACGAAGTGAATTGGCTTGTTTTACACACGGGGGGGGGGGGGGGGGTTATTTGGGGGGGTGATGGGGG